GTAACCCAAAAAGAAGGGGAAAGATTCTAGGTAAGGGGGTTGGTTATGCAAAGGGAAGGTATTAGAACCCTAAACATCTATGGTACTTCGCAGGAACCTCTTTGAAAAATCTGTATATTTTGGCTATAAAATGTTGTACAAAAAAATAGATGGTGGAGGTGAGAAAAGAAGTATTTTTTTATGATTTATGCACCTTCCGCGGTTGTGAACCTTTAGTGCCTACGTACCACCTTTCTTGCAATAGGGGACCAGGGTACACGTAGTTCCTCTTTTAAAAAAATTAAAACACAAGTGTGTTGATTGATTTTATGAGATAAGACATCATCGTCATTGTCCGTGTGGAAAACATACTTACTACCTGCAATCATGAGAAAGGAGAATTTGCATCATCTCAAAGTGGAGGATATGGCTTGGATTTTAAAATCAACAATGCCTCACTCAACACCCAAGTGGAAAATATCTCTCTTCACTACATATTGTAGAAGTATAGTTGTTTGCATCACTACAAGGATTGGCAAGAGTCCAATCTTTTGAGAAAGGTTTTAAAATAGGAAGCCAAAGTGGCAAAAATGGTTTTAAATAAGATTGATTGACTTTTAGTCTTCTCACAAAAAGTGTCAGGGTATTCTTAAGTTGATAGAATTTTATTTATGAAAATGTTTTGAAAAATTCATGGACCTAAGTCCAAGTTTATTATGAAAGTGATTCAAGTTTAGAAACAAGAAGGGTTTTCAAAAGGAGGGAGGAGATTTTTGAAATTAAAGAAGATGGGAGGAGAAGAAGGGACTATCCTAAAGCATAAGGTAAAAGCTAGGGATAAGAACCATATAACCAACAAGAAGCCAATAATTGAAATTATGTGTCAAGATAAAATTCCCATTTGTTGGATTGAAACCAAACAAGCAAAGATACTAGACCTCTTGAGAGAACCAAACTTCAAATGTATTAAAGTCTTCACAAAAATTGGGCAGAGTAACAGCTGTATACGGGTGAATTCCATATTACAAACAAGGAATGTAATCACAATAACCTGCATACAAAACAAACAAGAAACCCAATGTCTTGAGGTAAACCTCAAGAACTCCATACAAAATATCAATTAAGGTCACAAGGTCTCCAACATAGGCCAAGGTTTCTAATCCTAAGTCCAAGAAGTCCAATGCTCTATAATGCCAAGGATAGTAACCAAATAGTCCAAGTATCATTAAATTTTTGTATGGTTCATGTTGATTATTAGGTGTCTTAAAAGAGAAAAGAAAAGCTCAAGTGAGAAAAATAAAAATAACAAGAATATAAATGCTCAAGTGAGCAAAATAAAAATGACATGAAATGTAATGCTTAAAGTAAATGGTACATAAAGCATAAAAATAAAAGCATAAAGTAAAACAATTTAATAATTAGTAGTTAGTTGGATGACCATATTGAAACTTGCATTTGGAACTCATTAGAGGATTGGTATAACCAAAGTCTCCACACAACAAGTTGCATTTACTTTTTGTCAAGTATATCATCCATTTGGAATCCTCAAAAGTACCATTTAATGATCAACAATGTTTAAGTGATCCGCATTGACCAAAAGTGTTGTAGACCCATTAGAGGATTGGTAGAACCAAAGTCTCCACATAATGAATCTCAAGGTTATTGGATCAAAGAGATCAATTAACATACTTGGGCTTGCAAACATAGGTTTGGGCCACGAATGATCATTTATTCGATCTGGGACCAAATTTAGCGCTATGTTAAGCAATCGTAAGTGGACTTATATAGAAGTCGCGCCTATTTTATAGCCGGTCAATAGCAATCTATGCACCATTTGTTTTGAGATATGATATAAAGATCATGCTCCAATAACACTTAGTGCAATAAGAAAGGGATGAGATGAATAGGGGTGGGAAAGAATATAAACCATATTTGAATTAAAATTTAATCAAACTATTATTAAAATCATTCATCCATTTTTATGGAGTTAGACTCAACACCATGGATCTAATGATGTTAATAAAGTTCATGATCAAAACTCAACCCAAGATCAGCGAGAAAATAATCCCAAAATAATATTGCATTTAATATATACATTAAAAAATGTTTTAAAAATGTTTTAAAATAGAAATAAGAAAGAAAAATATCAACTATGTTCAAACTAATCAAGAAATATTAAGTAAGGCCATAGAAAAATCAGAAATAAACTCAAATATTTTTATAAAATTTTTGATAATTTTTTTAAGTCAGGAACTATTTTTAAAAATTAAAAGAAATGAGTAAAATAAACCAAAAATTATAACAAATAACAAAGTCAGAAATAAAAAATAAACGCGGTTACCAATATTTGTCACAATATCATTGGATCATTCCATTTTTTTTTCAGAATTAAAAAATGCATGAAAGCATTATTAAACATTTAAAACAATTCATATAAAGTGAAAATTTATAAAAAAAATATCAAAACACAAAATAAAATTGTGAAAAAATAAAAACCAGAAAGAGAAAAATCAAAAATATTTTTCATGATATTTCCAGATTTTATGGACTTAAAATGAATTTTCTAAGATTTTTTGAAGTTTAAAGCAATTAAATATAAAAATCATAAATAAAAAATAGAGTCAAAAATATGTGGACCATTGGATGAGAGTCAAAACGCGTTAGTAATCAAATTCAAGGGATCTGACGCACTGTGCATATCATGGTCATTGCTGAATAAAGCATAGAATCAAATATAAATCAGAAATTCAAAAAATACAAATGGCATTGTTTCATTGGTTGAAGGATGACACGTTGGTCATCTTCAACCTCCAGCCAGTCCCAAAACCAGGTTGCTTAATCTGTAAAATTAGAGCACGAGAATTATGGCATTCTCTTCGTCTCTTCAAGACAAAGACAACCACACATTGGCGACAAATTTATATGAACTGTAGCTCAAGCAATTTTAAAGAAATTTTTTGAAAAGGGATTTGAAATTTCATGGTCAAAACATATTTCCAGATAAAAGCCAGTGTTACGACTAGAACCAGGGCAATGAGAGCTTCACAATGATATCAAAGTTTTGAAGAATTGATGGAGAAATCTACCTATTGAAATTGAGTTGCAGAGCTCTGAAACTGGACTTCTATGGATCAATATAGGTCACGATTCTTGAAGGTAATTGTATGGTTAGCTTCAGGGAAGATCAAGGAAGGTGAATTGATGGAAAATTGGATTGAAAAAGGCTTGAACAATGATTTTGAAGTTGCAGAAAAAAGAGTTATGGAGCAAGTTTGGCACGGTGATTCTGGCTGTTCAAGCTTGAGAAAATGAATGAGGGATGACCCTATATTTATAGGGAATCAAATGGAATGTTCAAGCGTGTGAAATGATGAAGTTTGGAGGGAAATCGTGTGAAGTTGCAAACAAGAAAAGTGTGACTTCTAATTTGATCAAAACTCATCCAAAACGCGTGTTTTGCTATGCTAATCACTTCTGGAAGTTCACTAAACATGTTTTGAAGCAAAAACGCGCAAAAACAATGTGTTTAGAAGCTAAATCAAGGATTTCAAATTCTGACTTTTGAAGAAACTTCAGTTTCAAGTTACCAAGTTCAAATCAATGGCATTCTCAGCTCAATGGGTCTTAGGGCATCATTCTTGATGCTTTAGAAATATGAGATTACAAGTTTTGCAATGGGAAAAGAATGAAATCAAATGGATGTTTAAGCTGAAAGTTGCAATGAGTCAAAGTTGGGAAAAAAGGTTAACTTTCCATACTTAGAAATATTTCAAATTTTTCTTCAAAAGTGACCTATAATGTTTTGAACCATTCAAAATCTCCAAAAATTGGGAGAGTTATGAATTGTTGAAGTTGGAAACAAATCATGAAATAACCTATAATCTTTTGTATCCTTAGGGAATCTTCCATCCATTTTCTCACTTTTTATATAAAAGAAGTAATAAAGTTCACATCCTCAAGATCATTATGAAAAAAGAGTGGGCTCAAGGTGATAAAAATTGACCAAGTTATGATCATTTGAAGTCACACATGGGAAATTGGGGGTTCATCTGGAGGACTTGTAATCTTTCTTCATCATCAAGTTTCTTCCACATGAAAACTCCTTGAAACTTTTGAAGTGATTTGTTAGTAACCCTTTGAAGAGAAGGATGTATTTGGAACCACTCAAAAATACAAAAATATGAGCAAGATATACTTCTTTGAAGTTCAAAACCCTAGCTCCTAGATCAAGAAAATGCTTTGAGGAACTTTGACAATTCTGAACAACCTTCTTATACCACCACTCTTGCTTTGTAAATAGAAGTTGTTGAGGATGATAATGAGGAATCATAGCCACCAAAACCACTTCCATATCTTGAGAATTGAGAGGAATATGAACTTGTGACCAATGGGAACAAAGCCTTATCCAAACATGACAACTTCATCAATCAAACCCTTGTACCTTTGAATCAATCTTGATAACTTTGAAATGTGGTAAACCAAGATAAACCTTTCCATGCCATTTCTTCCAAAATAACTTCAATGGTGAGGTTTGAAATTCTCAAACTTTATTGACTAGGGCATGGAAATAAACTCATGAACCCATGGATCAACTTGCTAAGCCACATTGCCTCCACCTACATTATTAACAAGTAAGACAAACCAATATTGCATTTTATTAATTAAAAGGAAAGTCAAAATAAAACATGCATGATCACAAAATAAAAACAAGTCAAGGTGCTTAGTGATTCCTCAAAGAGCAAAGCTAAAGATAGGGAGGAGAACCAAAATCCCTAATGTGATCTTCTTGTGATTGAATCAATATGGTATGATGAAGGGATCTTAGGGGCAAAAATAAGGGGGGTACAACAACTAGAAGTTTTTTGGTATAAGTATTCAAATCCAAAAAACCAAACAAGACACGGGCCTCAGGTGGGAGCAATTTGGCCCATCCACTCATCCAACACAATCCAACATTATTTTTTAATGACTAAGGACTTTTGAACAAATATGAGGCGTTGTGTATAGAGAGAGGAATTAGGCTTAAATTGTGTTTTGTGTCCCTTCAATTCACAAACCAAATACAGACTCCCTCTTTCTCTCAAGACAATGCGACACTGATCTTTCTCCATTTCTTTTTTCTGCTTTATTCGCGATTCCGCCGTCTCAGTTTTGTTTCAGCCTCAACATCATCTCATCTTCAACATCGTTTCAAACATGATGCCACACTCCTACCTACCTCCGTTGTTCACCCTTTTGTGTCACCTCAAATCAAGATGCAGATTCAGAACAACATACATCGTAGAAGTAAAAAGGATTTTACCTGCACCGATCTTGAAGATGGAAAATAGAAAACCAGAGAGGAGATTTCGCAGGTACAAATTCAATTCGAATTTCTTCTTCTTCTGTTTTCTATATTTTAACTTTAGTGTGTGGTAGTGATAAGCTTTATGATGCGTGTTGTTGTAACGTTGTAGGTTGATGATGATTGAAGATTGATGCAATGAAGATGAAGTTGTGAGAGCAGAATTGATGTTGATGATGCGATGCATAATCGATGTTATTAATGCGATACGAAATCGATGTTGTTGGTTGAAGAGAGGAGTTAATGCAGTTCGTTGAAGACTGAAGTGCGATGCGAAGATGAAGAATCAATGTGTTTATATTGAAGAGAGTTCCATGAGTTTTTTTTGTTAAGTTTTCTTGGTGTGATTCTTCAGAAATTGGAGAATGGTGAGAATATGAAGTAGAAGATGATGATGTTGAACGTTAAGTCCTTGTGTTGATGCATACAAAGATTGAAGTTGTTGAGGCTCAAAGAAGAAGAGAATGAAGATGAAGTTTAGAGGAGAGAGAGAACCAAGATTTTTCTTGTGGTGATTCTCCATAGATTAAAGAATAAATTGATTTGAGGTGAGAACTCTCTTTTATCTTTATGTTAAGCATATGAAAATTTTGTTAGGGAAGAATAGATCTGGACCTATGGATCTAGATTTCTATTAGGGAATTGAAGGGTATATATTAGGCGGTTAGAGTTTTCTATGAGAGTTAGTTAAGTAGTTTGAAAGTTTGTTGCAAGTTAGTTAGCTGTTTGAATTCAGTTGGAGGTTAGTGAAATGATTTTGTCATGGCTTAGACAGTTAGACTGATGGAATTAGTTGAATGTCCTTTTTTTTTAATTGCAGTGTTTATGTTCTATTGAACTTAAGTAACCGCAACTTGCTTCTTTGGATGAAAACTTGGCTTACTAATGTTATAGTTTGAGTTATTGAAATGATGTTATTTTGATATGGTTTCTGAATTAATTTTCTGCTCTCTTTATTGATGTAAGACTGCAGTTTTGGATAATTGATGCAGGGCTTGTTTGTTATACAGGTTTGGAAATTGTCAAGGCAATGATTTCTTTGTAGCACGGTTTCAGTTTTGTTTTGCATTTTGTCATAGCTGGAACTTAGTAACCTTGCAAGAGAATAACATGGTAGTATTGGTTTAATTGCAGATTAATTAACTGCTTATGTTATTTGAACTGGTTTGTACTGCTAATATGTAAATTTCCATTGGCTTTCTCTTTTACACGTGGCTGACATGGGTCTTAGTTACACTTGAATTGAAACCCATTACAAATTGGATTTGTATTGAACTACCATAAAGGATTAATTCTTCTAATGAACTTGGTATAAGCTGCAGGTCTGGAATTGAGCGTGAGTTGATTTGGTACAGGTTAGGATGGCAAGGTGACACCAGTTTGTCAAAGGCCTAGACATAACTTAGGGTTGGAAATCGCCTACAGGGCTTGGCAAAGTTTCGAATGAAGATGAATGAACACCGAGATTAAGCTTTAGGACCTTAGGAATTTTTGTCACTCTTTTCGTGTATTTTGTAATGAGTTTTGGGATGGGATTTATATGGTTATTTCGTTTGGATTTGGACTGTAGTTTTGTTTAGATAAACTCTGAATAATGTCGAATAGATGGTGCCTAAAACCTTTGGAACAATGATCCCTGAATCCATGTTTGAAACCAAATCTCTTGAATGAATTTCAAAGGAATAGCTTGTATCAAGAAAGTGAATATTGGATTGGAATCATTGAAAAACATATTTTGCCAACCACCTTGAATTTTTGCTCTATTGGAACTTGTATCGACTTAACCCCTCGAATGCGTCACTACATCTTGAATAATGTCGAATAGATGGTGCCTAAAACCTTTGGAACAATGATCCCTGAATCCATGTTTGAAACCAAATCTCTTGAATGAATTTCAAAGGAATAGCTTGTATCAAGAAAGTGAGTATTGGATTGGAATCATTGAAAAACATATTTTGCCAACCACCTTGAATTTTTGCTCTATTTGAACTTGTATCGACTTAACCCCTCGAATGCGTCACTACACCTTGATTATCTAACATACTTGAAACCATGATTCAAACAGTTTGATCTTTTAAACTCAAAACCCTAATATCAGTCTAAGCATTAGGCCTTGAGCTTAAAGTACTTTGAAATAGATCCTAAAGAAGCTTGTAAGAGAAATGAGCCAATTGATTGGATGAAGATTCTTTGCATCATTACATTCACAAACCCTATCATGAATACTTCAAGGTTCTCAATGGACTCATTCCTCAAGTAAGGATAGAACCCTTTGAATGATAAAATTCAATGATATACCAAAATTTTAAAGAGCCCATCTTGAACACCACCTTATTTCAAAGCAACCTCTGATGAAGCCTTAATGAAACCCCAAACACTCGATGCACTTGAGACATCTTGATGAAGGAGGCCTTGTAGCTTGATGAGAGACGAAGCCCACAATATCCATGAACACAAAACCCTAATTCCACAGTATGGTACACCAAGAAGAACCAGAATAATCAACCTTATTCAACATATACACCTCAAATCAGTTTTAAACCCTAGCTTCACAACTAATGATCTTTTGAACCTCAAGTGCTTTATTAAATGCAATGTTATGTTAATGACCTAATAGATTACATGAAGATGAATGTAAAAACCTAAGCCAGATAAAATAAATTAGGAGTGCAAATTTTGGGGTGCAACAGCTGCCCCTATTTAATCGTCTTAAACCTGAAGGTGAGATTGGCGCCAACCTTTTAAACTTTCAAGGTGGGAAAAGATTAAATACTAAAAGAACCCAAAAATTTGCACTCCGAAACCAGTCGGATATTATTATATTTTTTGGTTTTCTGTATTTTCTATTTTTTGCTTTTATGGACAAAGGAGTTATTGGGGATAAATGTGTGTCTTGTCAGGGTTAGACGCACAGAAGAGAAATTGGTTATCAGGGAAGGAAGAAATCTAACACAACAATTTCAACCAAAGACATCAAAGAAGAAAGAGACCTAACACAGTGAACTTGATTGAAGATATCGAAGATGGAAGAGATCTAACAAAGAGACCTCGATCGGAGATATCAAAAAAGGAAGAAATCTAACACAACGATTTCAATCATAGATATCAAAGAAGGAAGAGACCTAACACAACAGACTCAACCGAAGATATCAAGGAATGAAGAAATCTAACACAACAATTTCAACCAAAGATATCAAATATATCAAAGAAGAAAGAGACCTAACACAGAAGACTCAACCAAAGATATCGAAGATGGAAGAGATCTGGCAGTGATCTTGACCGGAGATATCAAGAAAGGAAGAAATCTAACACAACAATTTCAACCAAAGATATCAAGGGGAGGAAGATATCTAACACATCAATTTCAACCAAAGATATCGAAGATGGAAGAGATCTAACAAAGCGATCTCGACCAGAGATATCATGGGAGGAAGAAATCTAACACAACGATTTCAACCAAAGATATCAAAGAAGGAAAAGACCTAACACAGCAAACTCAACTGAAGACATCGAAGATGGAAGAGATCTAACCAAGCGACCTCGACCGGAGATATCAAGAAAGGAAGAGATCTAACACAACAATTTCAACCAAAGATATCAAGGGGAGGAAGAAATCTAACACAACAATTTCAACCAAAGATATCAAAGATGGAAGAGATCGAACAAAGCGATCTCGACCAAAGATATTGAAGACGGAAGAGATCTAATAAAGTGACCTCGACCGGAGATACCAAGAAAGGAATAAATCTAACACATCGATTTAAAGAAATGATATCAAAGAAGGAAGAGACCTAACACAACAGACTCAACCAAAGATATTGAAGATGGAAGAGATCTAACACTGTGATCTCGATCGGAGATATCAAGAAATGAAGAAATATAACACACCGATTTCAACCAAAGATATCAAGGGGATGAATAAATCTAACACGACGATTTCAACCAAATATATCGAAGATGGAAGAAATCTAACAAAGTGATCTCAACCAGAGATATCATGGGAGGAAGAAATCTAACACAGCGATTTAAACCAAAGATATCAAAGAAGGAATAGACCTAACATAACAGACTCAACCAAAGATATCAAAGATGGAAGAGATCTAACAAAGTGACCTCGATCGAAGATATCAAGAAAGGAAGAAATCCAACACAGCGATTTCAACCAAAGATATCAAGGGGAGGAAGAAATCTAAAACAACGATTTCAACCAAAGATGTCAAAGATGGAAGAAATCTAAAAAAGCGATCTCGACCGAAGATATCGAAGATGGAAGAGATCTAACAAAGCAATCTCAACCAGAGATATCATGGGAGGAAGAAATCTAACACGTCAATTTCAACCAAAGATATCAAGGGATGGAAGAGATCAAACAAAGAGATCTCGACCAGAGATATCAAGGAAGGAAGAAATATAACACAACAGACTCAACTGAAGATATCATAGATGGAAGAGATCTAACAAAGTAATCTCAACCGGAGAACACCGATCAAAGGAGAACTCGAATATACATGTCCTGAGTTGGTAGTGGACATAAGGAAGATATTGGGTATATGCCAGGAAAAATTAGACATATACAAACAAGGAAGAAATCGACCGAAGAAGGCTTCAACAAGGAATGATAACCGCAAATAGACTCCTGGAGAAAGAACACCGGTTGAAGGCGACCTGGGGATAAAATATACATGTCTGGTCAGAGTTAAACACATATAATAAAGAGACCAACCGAAGTAGACTCTTAACAAAGGACGCCTGCACAAAGGAAAATAAAAAAGGAGGCTAAGCCGAAGGTAGACTCCTAAAAAATTAACGCCGATCAAAGGCGAACTCCACAATGAAAAGAAGACTAGTCGAAGGTAGACTCTTAACAAAGATAATGGAGATATATGTCAGGACAGAGTTAGACATATATAAGAAATAAAATGACCGAAGAAGGCTCTAATGAAGGAATGCCAATCAAAGGCGAATTTACTGGGGATACAAATAGAAATTGACTCTGAATAGGATGCAGATCGAAGGCGAACTTACAAAGAAAAGAGACCAGCCAAAGGGGACTCCTAATAAATGATATCAATCGAAGGTGGAATTAAAGGGGAAAGAATGTCTATCAAGGGAGAACTTACAAGGGATAAAGATATGCATGTCTGGTCAGAGTTAGACACACAAAATTGAAATTGGGCATCAAGAAACAAATGTTCGGAGTTGATAAAGAACACAAGAAAGGCCCAAAAAGAAAGAATGCATTCGCCTAACCAAGGATGCCAGACAACTAGACTTTGAAGAGACAATGATGGACTCTTAACAGAGAAGGTTAGCTAAGCTAACGAAAATCCCGACTAGCACGGATACTAAAGGCAAGGAACCGACTAAACATGACCTTAAGAGAGCACCAGTCAAAGATGAACTCTACCAGAGAAAGATACTAGCCGAAGGGGACTCTAACAAGGATTTCCAAAACACGTTGGACTTTAAGAGATTGCAAATATGCAAGAGCTACAAAATCCCTCAGGCCAGAAGTGGGGTGTA